TTTCCAGGAAAGTTATTATTTGGGAGTTGATTATTTTTTCTAGATATTTGGATAGGGCCGGTAGTATTGAAATTGGTCTATAGTTTTCGGTTAGGGTAGTATCTCCTTTCTTGAATTTGGGGTAGACCAGAGCTTGTTTCATGGCTTGTGGAACTGTGGCTTGTATTATGGAAGTGTTGATAATATTTGTCAAAGGAGGGATCAGTTCATTCTTGCAGTGTTTTAGGATTTTGTTTGGGATTTCGTCCAGTCCGCACGAAGATTTTGGAGGAAGGATTTTGAAGAGCTTATCGAGTTCATGTTCGGTGATTGTTTTGAAGGCAGATAGATGTGGTTTCTGTGTCATATCAAGTGGGGTTGGATCAGGTGCTTTGCTGAGGTTTGAGTTTCGTAGTGCGTGGTTACCGATGTTGATAAAATAGTTGTTGAAAGTGTTGCAGATCGATGTTGGGTTGGTTATTTGGTGTCCATCTGAGTTGAGGGTGATATTATTCACTTCATTGTCCGTATTTTTCCTTTCTTTATTTATGATGTTCCATATCGTCTTATTTCTGTTGGGGGCATTGTTTATTATGCTCATTGTATGTTCAGACTTCTTCTTTTTTACATCTAAGTCGTATGCTCTTTTGAAGTTACTGTAGATTTTTTTGTCTTCCTCACTGCCGCTGAGCAGATATTTGTCATGGGCGGTGTCAAGTAGTTTTTTAAGTTTGGCTGTGGTTTCATCCCAGAAGGTATAATTTGTTTTTTTTCTTAAGTTTATGTAGATCTTCGGCATAGTATTATTTATTTCATATGTTAGGATATTTACAAGGGCATTGTATTTAGCGTCTACTGATTGAGCAGTGTAGATTTCATTCCAGTCACATTGGCTGAGATTTATTTTGAGCTGGTCCAGTTTGGTTTTTGTGATAGGCCTGACTTGTTTCTTGATGGGTTGGTTTCTTAGGTTGTGGCGGTTGTTATGGTGCAGCTGATTCCCAGATGGTCTGAGAAGGACATTTTGTGGGTTTTTAGGGCGGTGTTGTGGAGTCCAATATTTGTAAGGCAGATGTCAATACTGCTGACCGAGGTGGGGGTGATTCTGGTGGCCAAGATGTTTCCGATCTCTAGGTTGTGTTGGTCTGCAAAAGCTATTAATTTCAGTGTGTCCGGTTCGTGTGGGCGCAGGATATTTACATTTATGTCTCCCAAAAATATAATATCCTTATTTCTTTTGGAGTACATTTCCAGAAAGGGATCTAGGTGTTTGGTGAGTTCTTCGATGGGTTTAGAGGGGGATCTATAGGCTCCAATGACCGTTAGTTGTTGTTTAGGCAGGTGTATGGCAACCAGTTCTGAGGCAAGTTCCTCGCAATGTGGCTTGGTATCGATTTCTGAGTAGGAGTTGTTACTTGATTTTTTTGAGAAGATGGCTATTCCTCCCCATTTATGTAATATCCTTGAGAAACTCGTAGACAGGGAGTAGTCAGGTAGATTAATTTGCTTTATGTGTTCTTCTGTTAGGCCGTGTTCGGATATAATGATAATGTCTGGGTCGATTAAGCTGATTTCTGATTGTAGTTTACTTAGTTTACTGTGGAGCCCTCGTTGAATGTTGAGGTGAAAGATTTTTATTTTTTTGGAGTGATTTTTTTGGTGGATGCTGTTTCTTGGATGGTTTTGGGGTTTTTGGCGTTGACATTCTGACATTCTGCTCAGCAAGCTAAAATCATATGGGGTTGAAGGCACCACGCTACAAACAATCTCCAGTTATCTAACTAATAGGAGGCAAATTGTATTCCTGGAGGGAGCAAATTCGGATAGTAAAGAAATCTCCTACAGTGTTCCCCAGGGCTCTGTCCTAGGGCCTCTTCTTTTCCTGATATTAATCAATGACCTAGGAATAGACGGGCAGGCATTACTATTTGCTGATGAGTGATGACACAACATTGGTGACGGAAGGTAGATGTGTTGAACGGGTGAAGAGGGAAGCAAGTGCATGGCTGAAGACAACAATGGAGTGGTTCGCTTCAAACAAATTAAAATTAAACGAGGACAAGACCCAACTCCTGATCTGCACTCTTAGGAGACAAATTGCTGCTGAAGAGAATCAACCAGTAAAACTGCTTGGTTTCTGGCTTGACCAGAAATTGAACTGGGATCACCATATAGCCCAGATCTGCACCAAATTGTCTAGAGTGATTTTCCTCCTGAGAAAGCTACATCATGTGGTCACTGATCAGTATCTTGTTACTGTTTACTACTCTCTGTTCCACAGCCATATCTTGTATGGTATACTCCTTTGGGGTCACACTCCCGCATGCAATACATTGTTGATACTCCAAAAGGAGGTGTTGAGAGTGATAACCTCTACTGAAATAACAGGCAAACATTTTACTCATAGGCCTATCTTTCAACGCTTTGATATCCTGACTGTTTATGGACAAAATGTCCTCAACTGATACTGATACACGTACGCCAGAACATCTCTATGTATGAAAGAAGACAGGACATCAGTATAACACCAGGAATGCTAGAAACCTCGACACCCCTCAATGCAGACTGTCCAAATCCCTGAATAGCTTCCCAGTGACCGCAATTAAACTCTTCAATCGTCTGGCTGAAGAAGTCAAAAGTATGGATGTGGCTGGGTTTAAAACCTCAGTGGAGGAAAAACTTCAAAATAGGCCTAACTACTCATTCAAAGAATTAGATGACGTGCCACTTTTTTAACTCGCCGCCATCTCAGTTCAGTTTGACGCAGTCTATCCGGAATCCCAGGCAGAGACGAAGCCTTCGAGTATTCAAGTATGTAAGTAAGGGGGACGAGTTTGAGAAACACTAGTGTACATGTTTTACAGGAGTTATTTCAGATTGAATAACAGTCATATTTACAATGAATTTAAAAGAGTCAACTCAAATATTGCCGTTGTGTAACTCAGACCCTGTTTATCTTCGTTATTGATAAACCTAAAGCATTCCGGACGGTTCTCTCCTTCTCAAAATGCCTCGCTGTACAGGCAACACAGGTCATTAATAGAGGGCCAATTGAGAACGAAAAGTCGTTTTGGGGTAGTGTAAGGGCGCATTCGTAACCAAATAGTTGAAGTTTTCCAGGTTCATGTTGAGACTGTTAAGCTGATGAGTTAAGCCTATTACCGCCACTGTTCTGTAGTTGCGGTCGTTATCACGATTGCGCCTCCTGTCTATGTTTCGTTGTCGTTGCGTCGGAGACATTTAAAAGAAATAAACAACAAATAATAAACAAATTATAGCTACACAAAACGACGATAAATGCACAAATTTAAGTTACAATCATGCTAACACAATCCATCATAGCGACACAAAACAACGATAAATACACAAATTTAAGATACAACCATACTAACACGATCCGTCTTGGGGGTTATGTTTACACAAACTCAAATAGTAAATAAATGTACTCAATGTGTTTCGTTGAATTGAAAAGTAAATAACAGCAATAAAATTATACAGCTGATCAAAATGTAAACAATTATGTTCTTCATAAGGATAACATGGGAACTTTTAAAGCCACTGGGGCAGAGCCCAAGGGACTTTTTCAAAAATGTAAGGTCAGTTTGCAAATCTACGTGACACGCTCTTTCCAATGAGATGTCAATGGATAAAATCGGTTAAGAAATGGCGGAGGAGTTCAACCGACAAACTTTCGTGTAGCGTATTAATTATATAGATTTAATAGACCATATAAAATTATAGCCACTTCAAATATATACAAAGGACTTTAATTATTAGTTTTTTTTTTTTTTTTTTTAATAGGGCCTAATGCAAAATGGTGGATTATCACAATGCTGAAATAAACAAAATCCAACTTCATATTTTTTATTTATATACGGTAAGTAGGTATGAAGATTCTGGTTCTGCATAGTTCGCTACACATTTTTTTTAACATTCTGCATATTTCTAGCTCTGAGTAGTATCATACCGGTACCAGAAACATATGTTCCACATGAAAAAATTGCCAAATTGGTACTTTCCTGTTAAAGGGAGCATTCATTATTATCGATGATATCTTTTAGATAAATCAATATTTTTGTTTTCCTTCTTACGATCCATATTTCTTTTGTTTCAATATCTTCAAACGCATTTAAATTACAAATTAAGAACTAACCTTGTTTAGGCAAAATTAAAAGCCTACATTGGATTGAGAAATGAAACTATTCTAAACTAACCTAACATAACTAACCAAACTTGCTGTAGGCTAAGTTACCATTTCAAAATTACGTTTGATAACAGAAAAGGCATACAGGAATAGGCTATGAAACGGAATTTTGAAATGTTACAGCAAGTTTAGTTGAATAGGTTAGTTTAGAACAGTTTAATTCCAATCCTATATTACAGTACTTTTAAATTGTTTGTTGATACTGAACATTGAACAGTATTTATTTATTCTTATATCATAGTTGTCAGCTGATATGTTTCAATTTGTTAATATCAATATATCGGATAAATTAAAATATCGATGTATGGAAAAGAAATTTTGTGATATATGGAAAATAAATCATCGATAATAATGAATGTTCCCTTTAATACTTTACTTTATAATACTTTAATACTTTTCAATGAAATGGCGACCATACAAAGTAGGCATTTTAAGCAAAGTATGGATGGAGATGAGTGTAGGATGAGTGGCACAATCTTGTAGTTTTGTTAGTGACTAAGGCCGAATTACTCCTTAGACACAGCTGTTAATTAATAACCCATACAGCTAATGGCAACTAAGGGACCTACAGTTTATAGTGGATTCCGAACCACATTTTTGCCTTGGTATATACGAATTGGTCTTATTTTCAGGATAGTACTGCGGATAGTCGTAGTACTCACTCGTGCAGATGTTAATCCACACCAGGGAGTATCGCATCCACACTGCATGCCTACAGGAAAGTACCAACAAATCTAAGTATTTTGTTGCTTAGTATCAGTGTATCAATGCTAAGTATTTTGTGTCTACTTATAATAGTTATTGAGAACCAACTTACATCAAATGCTAGTTGATTTACATTTTGTGTTGTTGAGAGAGCGAATTTGGAAATCTCGTCTTCATGCAGCTCCTGGAACACACAGCTTTTATAGGATTTGTACTATTTTACTAAGAATTAAGTGGATGCACTGTTTTATGTCATAACTAGCTGTGCCCGTTCTACGCACGGGGATCTTATAGTGGTCAGTTGAAACCTTCCTATAAAAAGATCAGCACTTGGTTTGCATATTTTCAGATATGCTGGCCAAAATATAAACAAATACTATATTTCTGACAGTTTCAAGTAAAAAAATGCGTAATAGATCTATGAGGGGTACACTTCCATATCTGTTGGCACAAACAACCCAAATGAGTAATATTGATTATTCGATTTTTTAATTCGATATATCGTTTGGTTAGTTAGGTTAGGTTAACCTTACCTAACTAACCAAACGATATATAGTTAAAATACTATACCTCAACCTCGCCATTAAACATTCAGGTTGAAAATTTCACTATCAAAGGTGCTCTTGTCCTGTCCGTACAGAACATTGAGTAATATGCGCTACCAACTTATGAATAATTGTTTAGGCCTACGAACCAAAGAGATGGGCAATTGGTCTATTGGCTTTATGGTCCAGCAAGCAGCACATAGCTTTGAGAAGACACATTGGAAAAGCGATTTGAGCATAATCCGTAAACCTCTGTTTCAATCACCCACTGCAATTGTCACTTTACACAACCACCATTGAAGTGCCGTTATTGAGTTGAAACCTTCTATGTAAGCTCTGTAACGATTAAAAAATGTAAGTTTCCCAGCCATATACAACACTGATTCAAGATCTTTTCCCCGGTTATCAAAACTCAAGAAAAATTTTATACACAAAGAATCTCTATTTTCATTTACGGTTACCCTACACATTATTGCACTTGCGATTAATTAAATCCGTTATGTAAGGAAAAACTGTTTTAATCCAACTTGGTTTGGATTTGCTTTTGAAATGTGATCGGAAATGATTGAGGTATTTGTATAGCTGTATAGCCATATTTTAATAGCTAAAGACACTCTCACCAATCCAGTGAATACATTAAAATGATTCGGATCTTGATAGGTACTCTCGTTTTTCAGGAGAAGGCCGCGTAAAATGGCTCTTGGGCCGTGACAGATGGAAGACAGCAGACAGAAATTGAGATGAGACTTGTATCAGCTTCTTTAATGTATAAAACATAAAAATAACCTAAAATCTTATGATTCTGAGCAATGTACAGACAAAACTCTAATTATATTTATATAGACTCAAACTCAACTCTATTTACCTTTTTCAAAAATAGAATAGCAAATAAACATATGATTATAATTAACAGAAATTAACATGTGTTATGAAATAAACTGTTCTCACAACATCCACCCTTTTAAGTTTGAAAGTTCTTCAACCAGCTTGGTTTGTGTATATTTCTCCTTGGGCGGTTGTATAATTCTGTTTGATTAATTGTTAATTGTTGGTAATGGTGGTAGCACTGGACATGTAGTGTGGAGGAGGGGGGTATGAGCGTGTTGCCCACGGAGAGAAAAGAGAAGTTGGTGTCGTGGAGTTGACGAGTTGAGGAGTCGGCGGGTGGAGCGAGAACAGACGAGCCAGGAGGACCGAGATGGTCGACGCCGCAGGATCAAGGACCCACTGACCAATGCCACTATCCCGGGAACTCTTGAGGGAGGGGACAAGTGGTATGGAGAGGCGTTTTTATTCATGAAATAAATTATAAGGTAAGAGATTCAATTTGGTTTTTATTGAGCTACACCCCCCGCGCCTAGCCTGTGAGGGAGGGCAAGACAATATTTTGAACAAAGTTTGTAACGCCTTGATTTTAGCACACAGTTTAAAATTTAACAGAAGCATAAAAAATATTTATAATCAAATGTTGAAATTACATGACCACGTTTACAATGAACCTAACATTAAGCCATAACACATTTCAGAATTAATGATTGGTTCATTAAAGAATTTCAGTCTCCCGATCGTATTTAAATACTAAATTTGAGTAAAATACCTGCATCCATGCAATCATGAGTGAGTTTGGTATGGCAACTAGTATTGACTCACATAAGAGTCATCCTCAGGCCAGTTAAGATGTCTTCCTGCTTCATTTCAATGTCATCAATTAATAATAAATTATTTAATAAATTACATGTCTTACTTATTATCAACTGACGACCTTGAAATGAAGCGAGAGGACATCCAAACCGGTTGTCATACTGCAACACACATCACATAGATGCAGGTATTTCACACCAATTTATAGGATTTCTTTATAATTTAAGTTTAAGGTTCAATGCAAGTGCGGAGATTCCTAAAAACTTGTACTTTTAAGGGTTTTAAATTATATAAATGCATTTTTGTGGTTAACAGCAAATTTTTGTTGTTACCACATACAATAACTTAACTAAAGTAATAAAACTTTATTTAAACTAGTTTCAATTTATTTTCGTTTCAACAAAATCTGATGATTCATCACAGAGGTATTTAACCTTAAACTCGAGTCCACTTTGCCTCGAATCGACAGTAAGATGCCACTTCATTGTGTATCTTTTAACACTCTAATTTTCTCTGGTAGGCTAGTAGAACTTTATCTATTCTCAAGCAATTAATGACTTACAACAAGTTAAGAATTTTATTACAAAGTTTTATGAACAGCCCTTTGTATTATTTTGTTTTATGAACAGACCTCAATCAATTTGTTTGTTAAGTTTAAATATTTACCTTAATATGAACAACTTTTTTATGTAATCTTTCTGCTTTGTTTTGAAACTTGGCTATCTTGTCTTCTTCTCCTTTGATTTCACGTAATTTCTTTATGTTTCTTGTTAGTTTGTGAATGACGTGCACCTTGGCTCTTCTGACATCCTTTCTCATTGAAACAATCTGCAACATAAAGAGAACCTTAAATTTAAAAGTAATTTTATTTTTGTTTTGTAATTTACTTAGTGAGGTTGGTTATCTATATGGTAAACAAATACCTAATACCTTACCAAACAAGGCAGAAAAAACTTTACAAGAACTAGAAACCTAATCATGTTGTGGAGAGATTTTGGAGGATCAGAACCAAAAGGCTACGTTAAGAGTTTCTAGAGAGAATTTCATGTATCACAATATTTCATACGTAATGGTTCGCCAATCCATGTCACAGACCAGCAAACAACAATCCTAGCTTAGCTACATCCTATTCCTAACTTCACAGCAAGTGTTATGTGTATAATACAGGGTGTTCATTTGAAAACTTTCCATATCTGTTGTGTGCAAAGGTAAGGCTTTTTACCCTTGTTTGTTCTCATTTCCCCCTAATTTGGACATGCCAAATCCAATAAAATTATTTTCAATTTCGAAAAATGCCCCAAAAGGGCCCAATTTGGGGGGTAGGGGTGCTTTTTGAGAAATTTTCAAATGTAAACATGGGTTGTGTGATACATCAATTTAAAGGTCTAATCACCCCAACTATTTTGGTGCAAAAAAAATTTAATTATCTTTAACCGTATTTACAGGGTGGGTCAAAATGTTTTAAAGAAGGACTTTGAAGTTAAGTACCGTATTACCCGAACTACTGAACGGAACAGCGCCAAATTTCTTTCCAAGCTTATCCTTGATCTACTCTTTAAGATAACTTGTAATAAGGGCATTGTCAGTGTTATTTTCTATTTTTTTAAAAATCTCAAAGTTGAAGAATTAAAGAAAGCTGAAAACTCAAAATTCTTAAATAGCAAGGTATAGCAAATTTCATACCACATGAAAGGTCCTTTTTTAACAAACATTTTACGTATTTAAGTTTTCTTTCTATCTCTTACCGTTTAAAAATTGCAGTAGAAAAACTGAATTTTCCATAGTAATATTGTAACTAGTTTTCTAATAAAACGGCCAAAATTCGTCTCTAGACACATTTAATGGTGCATTAACTGAAGGAAACAATTCATAATTATTGATACCCTGATTGACAAACAAGTCATCACGTTTTACTTTGTGAAAAACAAGTCTTATAGCTGATGAGGACAACCTACATGTGGGCCGCTTTCTGTAGTACCATTGACTAGTCAATGGTAGTACTAATTTCAAAAAGTACTATTTTCTGTAGTATCTAATCGAATATGGTGTACACTTAAAAAGAAATAGACTTTATTTTTACTTATTGGACAGAACAAAAGTGTTTCAGGATAACTGCAAAGTGTTTAACAATAAATATCCAGGTAAGACCTTAAGTCATAAAGCTGTAAATGATTTACTTAAGAAATTTCTTAAACTGGCTCAGTTACCAATGAGAAAAGAACAGGATGAAGAGTCCAAGATGAACTGACACAAGTAAAAGTAGTTGATCAATTTGAAATTAATCATAATACATCGTAGAGCAAAGTGCAATGTGTTTTGTTAGAAAACTAGTTAAAATTTTACCATAGAAAATTCAGTTTTTCTACTGCAATTTTTAAACGGTAAGAGATAGAAAGAAAACTTAAATACGTAAAATGTTTGTTAAAAAAGGACCTTTCACGTGGTATGAAATTTGCTATACCTTGCTATTTAAGAATTTTGAGTTTTCAGCTTTCTTTTATTCTTCAAATTTGAGATTTTTAAAAAAATAGAAAAAAAAGGAAAATGCCCTTATTAGAAGTTATCTTAAAGAGTAGATCAAGAATAAGCTTGGAAAGAAATTTGGCGCTGTTCCGTTCAGTAGTTCGGGTAATACGGTACTTAACTTCAAAGTCCTTTTTTAAAACATTCTGACCCACCCTGTAAATACGGTTAAAGATAATTACATTTTTTTTTGCACCAAAATAGTCGGGGTGATTAGACCTTTAAATTGATGTATCACACAACCCATGTTTACATTTGAAAATTTCTCAAAAAGCACCCCTACCCCCCAAATTGGGCCCTTTTGGGGCATTTTTCGAAATTGAAAATAATTTTATTGGATTTGGCATCTCCAAATTAGGGGGAAATGAGAACAAACAAGTGTTAAATGCCTTACCTTTGCACACAACAGATATGGAAAGTTTTCAAATGAACACCCTGTATATCAAATATATATGTTGTCTAATGGCGTATCAAGCACATAGGCTTAACTCATAACAATTCAATCAACTCTGGAATGTCCTCAAATGAAGGAAAGTGTTTCAACAGGAATATAAAAAATACTAATAATATTTTGCCATTAGTTGCAGCTACTAGTACTTTTAGAGCCTGAAAACATAATGTAAATTTATCACCTCTGCTAAAAGTCTTCTAAAACTACTTGATGTATTTAAATTTAAATTTAACCATACTATGCTTTTTTGTAATACAGTGAATAAAAGAATGTTAGAATGACTACGGTCATAGCGATCATCATCAGGTACAACAGTAACTTCAGACTTTAAAAAACACTTACTTTATTGTTAAACGTGAATTTGTTCAAAGTAGAACCACCAGATTCTTGTTCATCTTCACTTTCAGACCCAGATTTTGGTTCTTTAGCCTTGGTCAGTTTCTGATTCAACTTGCGAAGATGAGTTGAAAGAGGTTTGTGAGCAGCCACTCGAGCCTTCATTCTCTCTTCTCTTGGAACCCTAATCTAGAAAAATCAATTCCTTATGCCTGGTTCATCCTTCAAAACATAACAATTTACACTATCATGTTTTCTTGTATGGTCACCATTTCAGATAATAGTGTCTAAGTATTAAGAACGAGTGTAGTTGATGATGGTAAGATTTTGTACACAATATCACTACAGTCAACATGAAAAATATGTTTGTACAAATGTGAATTGTACGAACTTCAAGACTAAACAGTTAACTTTGATCATGGAAGCCTACCTCCTACTGAAAACATAATATTGTTATAGGATTAATTTTAACCTGTTCATTAACCAACTCCACAGAAATCCTGTGCAGTAAATTTTGAAAATAAATTATTTTATTATTTTTTTGTGTTTTGAATATATCATAGCTTCCCTCTTGTCCAGCCACCTCATTACTAAATGCTTCACTGGAAAACGATTTGACCGGATGAATGAATAAGCTCTATACAAATCATTATATTACAAATAACTTATAAAAAGCAAAAAAATACCAAATCAAAGCAATACCTATAGCTTCTTTTGCATGGAGGTCATGATTGAAGTCTCTTTTAGAGAATAATAGGCCTATCCTCAGCTTTACATCTTCCAGCCGATATTGATCATTTAAAAAAATTGTTATAAAAGGGACCAGTTAATAGAATGAAAATGTTTGGACAGCAATGCAGTCTAAAGAAATGTATTGGTGAAAGAGGTTTAAGGTACAGTATAAGAGGGACGCTACGACCTAAAATGATCATTATAACTTGTAAATAAAAACTAAAGCTACAAGCATTAATGAAAGTGTTTCCTCTGAACTTACTATGGTAAATAAATAACAATAGGCTAGTCGAGTTATGCTAAGCACCTATGGAGAAAAAAATACCTAGGTGCCTTGGGTGGCACCATAGGACGGCCGCCTCCATCTCTCCAAGACTGAACAGTAGGACATCGCCCACCCTTCCGAAATCCAGCATCGGGCGCAAATTGTGAGCCGGGAAAAAGGACTCGACTATCCTCTACATAGTGGTCCCGTCCATGGCGGGAGTTTGAGAGTGAGTGCCGAGTTTCTGGGTTATAAGTTTATATCCCAGGCCCCTCGGATCGGAATCAACATTGTCCCTTAAATTCTCCCAGCCCGGCAGAAACTTCCTCGCCACTTTGAAAGCCTCCAACATACAACACCTGTCTACAGGTTTTATGGCCCTGGTAGTGAGTTGTCTAGCTCTCAATGCAGCTTGACGCAACTATACAATCTCAACAGTCCGCCAGTATAAGGGTTGCTCATCGCACCGGGATCTCCTGTGAGTCATAGACTCATCACAAGCTGAAACTATCAGCACCATCATAGATGTAGACCCCAAGACCGCAGAAATCCCATAGACTCCAAGGAGACCAAAGATCATCTACTCTATAATTGTACAGCTAGGTAAGGGAAAGCACTATTGGAACAATGACAAGGGGCAGACACCTTCGCTCCTCAGGAGGAGCTCATAGATAGGATGCTGCAGTTCATCAAGCAACTCAGGTTTGACGGGCTCTGACGCACCAAGTTGGGAGCACGTAAAGCCCATCTGTGGCCGACGTGCATCAGGACAAGGTCCACAACAACAGAATCAATCAATCGAAACAGATGTTCCCCTCTGCGTGAGCCATGCCAGGGGCGAAAGGAACCACCAGCGCTCCTCTTAGGATGGCTTCGTTGAGTAAGATAATAGTGGATGAAATGAGGAACACGACATTAGTCTTCTAGATTTAGATCAGATCAGAGTAATATTCTAGGCACAGTAGGTGGTTGAAAATATAACCTCTCAGATAAATTGTGAGTAGTGATTGTTAAGGACTTGAATTGATAGGACAATTAATCTAGCAGATTTTTATAAAGTTACCAGTAGTATGGAAAAAAATATCGCATGCCACTTGACCAAAAAGTGTTTACTGTTCTTGTATTGTAATCTAGCGTGAGGTAAAGTCAATGTTGATTGTATCCACCATGCTCTTCCAGTAGGCCAAGCGCCGATTTCCCAGGACTAGTAACATATTCTGAAAATGTTTATAGTACAGTACCTCCAAAGAATTACATTTTCCATCTAATTTTTTCAGCCTATTGCTTAGCAGAGGTACTCCACAGCCTAGCTTAACCAGAGATGTGTAAATCATTGAAATACTAGCATACCTGGTGCATGGAATCGTGCAAAATCTAGACATATGAGAAGGATTTATATTGATTTTTTATTGGAGCTTTCAGATTTCTTGGTTTTGTTGTTAAAGGTGGAGATGGTGAAAGCAGGCCCACTTTTATAAACGGGCAGACTGGGCACATGCCCAGGGGCGCCGGTGGTTGGGGGGCGCCCGAGGGGCGCCCTGAACCACCGCCCGCACTAGGAAAAATAGGGTTTTATCAGCCGGGATTTCAAAAATAAAATGGGTTATTTCAACTTCTAGTTATGTGATTTTCCCTTATTGCAAAAGTAAATAAATACAACAAAATTGAAAATACTCGACCTTTAGGTTATACCTCGTGTAGTCAGGGAAAGGCAGGCAGCAGCGTGAACCGGGCGCACTCACTATACTATCAGAGGCAGGGAGGCCTGCATGGTGGAAGGAAAATACATAGGTGTGCTATTCCCACTGCTGACGTCACTCAGATTGGAAACACTATTTTACCATTTAGAAAAATTGTAAAACAGTAACAATCAAATCAAAACAAATATATATACTTATATGGCAATACATCAGCAGAATTTTTTTTGTGACATCAGCAAATTATGGGAATGTACAGTAGGCCAGCTGTAGTCTACAGGCCTACGGTTGACGTGCCTCTCCTCTCCATCCCAGTCCCACCCCCATCCCCACAAGTCACAACTACCAACTACCGCGCGGCGCCAGTCCAGTACAGTAGTACTCCTTCCTCAGTAGTCACTAGTCAGTAGGTTTTGTTCGTATTGTGCCTGCTGCACAGTCGTCAAATCAGTCACAACACAACCTAAACTGTGACAGTCACTAGTCAGTGTTGACACTCACACTGCAGTTAGTGAACCAGTAATAAATAAATAGAGAAGTGTTCATACAATTAAGTAGGCCTATAAACAGTGAAAAATGCATAAAAACCTAGTGCAGCCGAGAGCCGCAAGCGGTTGGCTCAAAGAAAGCAATCTCAAGAAGCAGTTTTAAAGGAAGTGAAATGTATTAACCAGTATTTCCATTGATACGGAATTGAAAAGTCCCTCCCGAAACAAAACTGGTAAAAAAACACGCTAATGTATAAATATATATATATATGCATAGGCCTATAGTAGAACCATGGAAAAAACATACTCCTTAGTGGAATCTCGTTCAGTACGTGTGTCATACAATGAACTGCACACTGTACTGTTCTGAACAGTAATCAAATCACTGCGTAGTGCATTAAGCTATTGGCGCAGGGCAAGAGGCATTCGCATAGCAACTACTGTCAAGTTCATTGCACTCACCCCAACCCACCTGCAGTTAATTTCGGCGAACTGATGAGTCAACCCCCCTTCCCTCTTCCCCTCCCTACACTGCTGTGGTAAAAACCTTTATATATATATAAGGGGGGGGCGCTGCTTTTGGGTCTGCCCAGGGCGCCACTGACATTTAACGCGGCCCTGGGTGAAAGGTCTAATTGAGTTCACAGTTTACATGCGATTTTTTGAGTTTGTTGTTGTTTGTTAAGGTCAGTAAAAGATTCTCTATTGATTAATTTACGATAACCTAAATGACAAACCAAAGCCCCTCATTCCCACCATTACCCCTGGCTTAAATCTGGGACTTATTCGCCAGGCCAATTTCCCTGAAAATCTTCTTTCTTCTCAGGCTTATGCCACTTTCAATCCTCGTCCAGTCACATTATGTGTCCAAAAGCCTAACAGCACGACTCTCTTCCCCCTACCGCCCTGAGATAAGGATCATTGGGATTCGATATATAACCCTTCATGGGGAAGTTTTCATTCCTTTTCTTTCTTAGTTTTTATTTATTTCTTTTTTTTAATTTAAAAGCCTGTATGTATCCCTGGTTCTTCCTATTTCCCTAGCTACTTTCCTAAGCGTCTCAATTGTTTCCTTGTCCCTCATCTAGATTTATTTCTCATCTCAAGACCTTTCCTATCCAAGACTTCTTCCTTTTATCTCCTATTTGCCTCCTGAAGTGGACATATTATAATCACATGACTTGTGATCTTTATTTCTCTTTATCTACATACTTCCTCTTCCATAGGGTTTTGACCGGAGCCATACCACTCAACCTGCTCATTGAAGAAAGGATTAAGATTTAGGAAGACAAGGAGGCGGGTGGGACTACATAGGAAAGCAAGAGGGCCAGAAGAAAGGAGACATTAGATGAGTGGAAAATGTGCTGCGAGCAGGGTGAGGAATAAAGGTAAACGATCGGATATATGCCAAATATTAGAAAGAGACTGGAACATGATTGGGAGATGGGCCATTATGAAACGCAGTTTGTCACAGGACATGGAAAATTGCAAGGCGAATTTGTGGAGATTTAACCTGGTGGAAGAGGAAGTATGCAGATGTGGAAATATAAAGACAGTGAGTCACATATTTATGACTTGTCCACTTCAGGATGCAAATAGGAGCGAACAGGAAGAAGTTTTGGATAGGAAAGGAGTGGAGATGAGAAAATAAAACTTGATGAGGGACAAGGGAAAAATTGAGACGTTTAGGAAAAGTAGTTAGGAAAATAGGAAAAGACAAGGTATACATACAGGCATTAAAATAAAAAAAAGAAACAAACAAAAAATAAGAAAGAAAAGGAATGAAAACTTCTTCATGAAAGGGAGAGGAAAGGTTACAGTGAATATCAATGATCCCTATCACTCAGGGCGGTATGGGGAAGGGAATCTTGCTCTTAGGCTTTGGACACATGATGTGTCTGGACGAGGATTGAAAGTTGCTGAAGCCTGAGAGGAAAGAGGATTTTCACGGGGAGTTGGCCTGGCAAATAAGTCCCAGACTTAAGCCAGGGGTGGTGTTGGGAACGAGGGGTTTTGGTTTATTATTTCTAAAAAGAGAATCTTTTACTAACTTTCACATTTGAAAAACTGTAAAAATGGCACATAAACTGTGAACTCAATTAGATCTTTTACCGTCTCCACCTTTTACACGTTCACTGCGGCACGTCAAATGGCAGGCGTATCCCCAGTGCGGCGCAGCCCTCAGTGTCGAACAAACCTGATTGTTGTGTGTGATTGGCTTTCCAATTTCGGTCTGACCAATAGCAAATAACCTGCGGGGATGTCCTGCTTTACGAGAGTACACGTAGTTCGCTAAACACCAATAGATAGCAGCACTACTCGGAACGTAGCCGGTCCCATTGGAATTGTATTGCCAAATGGAGGGGAAAAGACAGGACAAAAAGTTGATTTTTAAGCTTGTCAGACGGGGATTTTACGGGGAAATTTACTACCAACCTACACTACGACAAAATGCAAGTCACACACTACACGCTAACGTGATATAGGTCCGCTTTCGACCGAAGCTAGAGCAAAAATGAAGATAAACAAAAGGCATTGTCGAGCTTTCCCGATCGGTTACGGACGCACTGTACGGGGGCCGAGCACTGTACCTGATCGGGAACGGCCACACTCAACATGTTAACAACAAACGCCAAATAAAAAAAGATTAATATAATATTTTTCTCCTATGTCTAGATTGCCCACGAGTCTGTGCGCCGGGTAAGCTAGTATTTTATAATTAGGCCTGCAATGTTGTTTTAGAGTAGGATACTTACATTTGATGCCAATGACATTATCTTGTTGGACATTAAAAGTGCAAATCTAATAATTTCATCATCTTTCAAAACCTGTAAAATAAACATTGTGATCAATGATTATCTGAGGGTGGAAAAAAACTGAGTAAAAATCCAATCGTGAAAAGATATAAAGTAGGCTACCATATGTTAGATTTTGCAGCATTTAACACTTGCTTCATTAGTATGACATGAAAAAACCCAATGTTATTGCTAACTTTTTGGGTAAAACTTTTTTGGTTCCAAAACCTTTAAATTTAATATCATATGCAAGACTAACATAACTAAACATCTACTTAATCTCATGCGTGGGATTAAAACTCAGCAACAATAATAGCTGGGTAGCTGGGTGATTAGTGCTCACCAACCAATCAAAAGGTTGTCCGCCTGACCCGGATAAAAGTAAGAAACCATTTGATTGTTTCAAACTGTGGCCAACTGTCCTTGATGGATTTAAAAAATGATCCTGCTAAATAAACAGCTGTTTTATACAGTAGCAAAGCTACCAGTTATGAGGGATGAGCATCAATGGGTCAACCATCAATGGGAACATCAGTATTAACCATCAGTGTACAGTACGTTCTGAAAACATCATCAGACATTGTTTTTCATCAGCTTTCTGCCTCAGCTAATTAACAACTTAGCTATACGTTCGTTAAACTGTTTACTATCTCCATGCCATTCATGAGTTTACTTACATTAATTTACACAAGGTATAAGGCAATCCTTAAATATATAATACGAGAAGGCGATTTCTACGAAACACTACTCCTCTGTCAATAATCATTGGAAAAAATCAATTTTTACTACTAACGTAATATACTATCGTTTTAACTAGTCCTAATACAATTTTGCTAAGAAAATACAGACATTTCTATGGTTGGTCAAGAACATGTAACAAAAATATCAGTTATCCTGCCATCAATTCAAAAAACATCGAACAGTGATAGAAAAACATTGATAACTTCTAAAATATCAGTTATCGATGCTCATCCCTACAAGTCATTTCACTCCATTCTACACTCAACCTTCACCCATATTTTAGGGCTAAAATATGCCCAGTGGTCCAATATCAATTAATTTAAAACTGGTAGTGGTTATCCTAGCCTCAATCGGTACCTAATGGTAATAATTTAGGTAATAAGTTTAAAAAATGAGCTAAAATTTATCTGGCATTTGCTGCATTCTGGGAGCTACCGTACCTATTCTTCAGTTTTTTGTTGAACAGTGCTGTTAGTCCAGTAAGATTTCAGGTATGGTCAATGGTTTGAATCCTTTCTGAACCAGGTCTAGTGTATAATGTAACTCGTGATAAGTGCCGCTGTCTGTGGAAGAACGCGGAGGGAAAGGCCTAGCCTACCTAAAATTCACCATGGATGGGGTACCTACAGACAGACCATTACAACCGCACTCAATGTGTTAAATAAATACTAGCCCTACCTTCAATACATCTAGGTCTTTGGATACTCTTTCTTTTTTCTTTAGCAATGCAGATTTTTTCTCTTCAGATATGATTTGTTCAACTTGATCTGTTAAGCGCTTTAGATTTTTTTCAAGCATGTTCCTAAGTGCCTGTTTGGCTCGCTTTGTTGGCTCCTTTAATCTGGGTACCTAGACAAACAAAATATTATGAAAATTATCTAAAATCTTTCTTGTAAGTACCTAGGCCTAACCTAAACCCTTGGTTTAGGCCTACACATAAGTTATTTATAGCAATAATGCTACTTCCTCTTACAACTTTACTTGTAAGCGCATATCAATAGTATCCTACTTATAACATTAGTAAAAGGGTTTGGATATTAATTTAGTTACACTTAATTTAGTAGGCCTAAGTCTTTGATTGCCCTACCAGTACAAATTTTAAAATGTTAACTATTTAACATTTATTTAAACTAGGCCTATTCGTTTTAGAGTTGTAGGAGTTAAAGGACTTGGCTTATTTAACTTCCAATAAGTTGTTCATTAGATTTCCTAGGAAAAAAATGGCACGTTGCCACTGATTGTGATATGATGCAATGACTCATTGTACCAACCACTCATTACACCACTCATTGTATTTAATCAGCTGGTGTCCAGTAACAATGCATTACATGACTAATGTACAGTAGTAGGTAATGCAATGAAACCCCATTAAACTAAGCAGGCTGTGGCGAATAGCTGTTTTCCGGACTAAAACCCTGCATATGGTAAGTCCATTAAAACCTAGGAGGATTAAACATCAAGGAGAAAGCACACGAATAGGAATATACATGTTTCGGTGAAGCCAGCTTTAGCAAAACACAATAGGCGAATGCCGAGCCGTAGAGTGGCAAAAAGCCGCAGCTATAACATGAGAGGGATCGGGAAAAAAATGACGCGCATTTTGAATTTACTATTCGTACATGAATACATTCTTCCCTTAGTTAGGCTTCTAATATTTTGATTCTAATGTAAGTTCTTAACATGATGGAGTCTTAAATAAATCTTTTAAATACTTGACGGCTGTTTCAGTAAACCTAGGCCTAACTAAATCTATAATATGACATTAAAGCCTAACTGTAAACTGATTGTTCGGTTAGCCTTAAAAATTTTGTTAGGCCTATATGTATGTTTTGAAAAAACCCTTCCCCCCACAAATACGCATAACGCGCGACCTACCTACCTCACATGTCTTTTCCATCATTTCATTTTAAGCAATTCAAGAAGTTTGGATAGTGAATAGTCAATAGTTGAATAGTCAATGGAGAGTGATTTGAGTTATTCCATCTTCAATAAATATAATATATTGTGATAGATTTCCTCAAAAAACAAAATGGCCAACACCCTAATTTTGGCTTACATTTTAAGTTAGTTAGACAAGAGGCAACAAACTTGGCATGCTTCACGGTTATAGCCTAACTGATAATTTTTTTTTAATTCAAGCGAAGGCTCAGAGGTCTAGAAGCACTCAGGAAATCCTGTAGACGCTTACAATTGCCGTTATTTTGGTTACTAAGTTATTTCAGCAAAACATTTTGTGTTTGTAAGTACCTATTTGTGTTTTTCATTAGGTAAGTACCTAACTTAACCTCCACATAGGCCTACTTCCTCTCCGGCAATAAATTATTGCATTGTTAGGCCTAAGCCTACTAACCACCAAATCAACTGTAGTAGGCATAATTTTTAAAAACTTATGAGAAAAAGTGAAGATGACCAAGTCTTGGCTTAGGATTAGGCCCTACTTACCCCCATGAATTTTCAATTGAGCCACAGAGATGTAAGAAACAAAGGATAAATTCAGTGGTACACATAGACAGGCCCGTTTTTGACACTGTCAAACCCCCCCCCCCCCCCCCCCCCTAGATGTTGTGTTTGCCCTAGGCACAGCTAAAAGTAGCGCCCCTTTGGAATATATACAACAGGGTGTCCACCGACCGGGAAATCAAATTAAAAGTTATATTTGACTTTTTTTACCGAAAATTATGAGAGAATTTTTTATTTCTACCTGAAATTTTCAATTTGCCGTCATTGTGCATGAAAAAATTGATGTTTCTGTGACTGCGGTAGACAATATAGATAATATGTCGGTAGATAATATGTCTACTCTACAAACGGCCGCGAGGGAAGATCAGATTTGTCCACGATCGCAGAAGACGATGATAATGTACACACGATTGCCAGAAAAGGTCTGAATTTTACCTTATTTGCGGGAGACGATGATGATCTCCACAAACCCGCAGGAGATGATTACCATTTTGCCGCAACGGCTGGAGGCGATTACTATGTCCACACGACCGCGGGGGGGGGGGGGGGGGGCGATAGCCTATTTAAGTTGTCTTCACGACCATGAGGGGTGATCAGAATCCGACCGCGATCGCGCAAGACAATGATAATGTCCACACGACCGCTGGAAAGGATCAGAATTTTGACGCAATCGCGGGAGACGATTACCATGTCCACACGGCCACGAGGGGTTAGCCTATATCAGAAGTTTACCGTGATCGCATGCAAATACAACCACCAATTTTTTCCCCTAATTTTCTTGGCACCTTCCAAAAAAGCCAATTGCCTCGCGCCCTAGGCACGTACCTACCGTGCCTATTCGGTAAATCGGCCCTGCACATAGGCCTAACCTACGTGGTGTCTAGCACCAGTCACTGATGTATAGAGGAAATTATATTTGTTGTCTCCTCCCGCTCCCTTTTCCCAACTTGCCATTAAGTTAACTTACGTAGGGTACTATACTGCGCTCACAGTGTAGGAAGATCCCGTAGCCTATGCTAAAACTGCTGTAGGCCTACAACAATGCTATGTGGCCATCACTGTTTGGGCTCTTCCTTGCTAGGTACAGGTACATTTCCGCCCCAACATAGCCTTGTCAGAGCTAAAATCGCACGGTTGTCTCATAAGCTTGTAGGCTATAGTCTGTATCTTTCTCCTCTGTTATGTAACCTAGGCCTAGTTAGGTGTGAAGTATGAAAACTGGTTTAAGTTAAATAAGCCTAGGCCCTAGCCTAATTGAAGGATGTTACCCAGATGTTCTAAAGTGGTTCATCCGTTTAGTAATTTATCTTTTTCAGAGCAATAGCCTACCCTACTGTACTCTCAGAAGTAGGCCTATATAACTTCCATATGCATAACTTATTTAAACTTACAAGAACTATGCCTAGGCTAATTGTAAAATAATGGCAACTTACAAGTTTATCCATTGTAAGATCCGCAGTTTCACCTATTTTATTCTTCATTACGATAATTTGATAATTAAGGCCTTCTCCCAAAAGTAAAACAAAATTGATTCTACAATAAAGGTTGACCTAATCCATGATCTTGTTTACCGCTTGTATGTATCCATATCCAACATTTTGCATCAATCAATCAATCACGACATACACTATTTACAGAACAGATTATACAGTAGCCTACATAGGCTACATAAAATCAATCAAATCAAAAAGAGATTATTTTATAGGTTATATGAAAAACGAAACACAAAACAAAACAAATCAACAACACATGGCACTCCATCCTCAATTTTTTTTTCACTCAGGTTGACAATGTTTATAAATTGAGGATTAGAGGTGGTCTGCATGTGTTGATAACATACAGCTCTACTATTTTTATCATTGGACAATTTACACTATCATTGAATATATGCCAGGGCATAAAATGGCATTATAATAGGTTCGCCCAGTGCAGAGATTTCGTCACCTAGTGGCTATGGATGGTACCGGCATATTTTTTTAATGATTCACATTTTAAAAGTATTTAAAAAATAACATTGTGTAAATATTTCTAGAAATCTTAATTAAGTGCGATTATATGGACGATTTACAAGCAAATATAATCGGAAAATTCATTACAAGATACGTATAAATGTGTGATTTTCACTTTAATTTATGAATAAATTTTCCGGGGTTCACCGGGGACCCCACTTTTTGACGGGGCCCCCCGATAAGTCCGGCGCCACTGTCGCCCAGAGGAAAAACCCTTAAAATATGCTTTGATATATGCAAATGTTTCACGTTGGTTGATTTTAAGTGAAGTTTTAGAATACTAATAGCCGGCCGAGTCAATCAAGGGTTTTATCCTAAACTAATTAGGGAAAAGCTGGATTTTCCTGACGATTGACGAATAATAATAAGAGGTATATTAAGTTGAATACACAATTTTGTTTTATCTATACCTATTACCAGGTGTCCCACGAAGAGGTCCATATTTTTTAATTAGTATGACAGGCGCGCTACACAGACTTGAAATTCTACAGTCGTGACTAACCCATATGTATAAAGATGTTGCCCCCGAGTCTCAATTAATCAATTGTGGGGAAAAAACAAGAAAACAACCAAATCAGCAGTCGTAGGCAGTTTGTGCGTTTATTGACTGGGCTAGATGCGACGACGCAGCATACTAGCGCAGAGGTGTTCAACTAGCCTGCTCCGCGCTCTCTTTGACACGCCCAGCTCTTCACCCGGTCACCTAGATGACTAACCGATAATATATTTTTTAAACCTTGAAAAACTTACTAAGACTTTGATTAAAAAACCTTTGCATATGAGGCGGGTCATAGCAAAACTGGCTAAGTGACATTTTTTTCGAAATTTAGATTTTGACGTTTTATTATTCTATGGGAGTCAATACACCAGACCGTGTGCTCACTTTATGTCAAAACTGGCTATTTCCTATTTAAAAATCGTTTTTAAGTATAGCGGTTGCAGCAAAACTCGCCTTTTCCATCCCGACTTTTGTAGCAGAACTGGTCATTTGCTTACCGACCAATGGTAGCGCAGCTTATGATCACGTGACTTTCAGTTTCTTTACACATCAACTTTTGAAGAGTTAGTCTTGATTTTTAAAATAATTGTTTCACGTCATGCTAATCTAGGGATTTAAGAACGTTATTAAAAGGTTTTATATGTCAAACCTATGCTTTTATTTTATAATTCTTATATACCATTTTAAAATGTTTGCCGAAGCAAAACTGGTTTTTTATAACAATGGTTGTTGCAAAACTGGTTATTTTTAGTCTGTCACAGCAAAACTGGCTAAGTGGTATGTTTAATGTATTTTTACTGGCTAGTTAATAGTAACAGCTGAAAAATATTTGTTTCCCAATAAATTTAAGTACTTAATGTACTTGTAAAAAAATTACAACTCAATAACTTTAACAGAACAAAAGATATATGTATTTTGTGCTTCCTGAAAAATCTACGTATTTTCACTTAGCCAGTTTTGCTATGACCTGCCTCATATAATTTCTATTTAAAAGTATATAGAAAGAAAAACAAAATTGTGTACTCTAAAAAAAGCCTTTAACAAATTGAAAAATTTTTCTCCCTAAATAGGTACTGGTTTTAGAAAGAAATGTTAAATACAAGAGTTGTAGGAAAACTAATCAGAAATACAAAACAAAAGAAATATTGCAACACGATGCATTAATGCACGATTGCATGCATGGTATTTGACTTGGTCAGCTAAGGGAAACACTGCAAATTCTTGGTTTTTGGTGGGGGGGGGGGGGGAAGCAAAAGGGGAGGATTAGGAACTTTTCAGAAAATGTACCTTATTATGGCCTCAGGTAAAAATCCAGCTTTCCCCTAATTAGTTGCGCATGGAGAAACTAATTAGTCTATATTGGCTACTGTTTTAGTCTATTTTGGCTGGGCTATAAAATACAGAGATAAAAGATTCGAGCGTACTTGTATTCCCTGTATGATATTTTTATTCGAACTTAAATATAGGTAAGTTAATCGTTCTAAGTTTAATTAAGTTGTTAATAAAGAAGATTGTTTTTGTTCAAATGTGCATAAGACGAAGATATATATTATGTGGAAAGATATAATAGCGATTTGGAATCGTCAAAAGTACACAATAATACTTACCAACATCTTTACAAATAGAAAATCTATATGTTTTTGTTTAATTTTCAATTGATTGATTCAATTGATCAGTTTGACTTGGTTGAACATTTTTCGTAATTTTGACAGAAATCAGTAATGATTAGTACACGCTGCCGGCCAACTCAACCAATAGACTAACACAAGAAAAAGTACCCATGTAAGATTCAATTAACGAATAATTAACGGTGTCCATTTTGAAAAAAAAAAAAACCGGAATCTGGCGATGACTTTAACATGGGGTTGAATGTATTTTATCATAGACAAATAGAATCGATAGCCAAAAGATAGTAAGGGCCCTATTACACTAGGTCACCAGGCGACGTCACCGGTGGCGTCACCGGTGACCAGACTAGTTGGTGGGCACTGGTCCTTATGGCGCCTATTACACTAGGGTCACCGGTTGCGTCACCAGCCTTTAGTGACTCTGCCCCGTGACCAGACGAGTAACCACTGGTGACCAAGATTTGTCGCTGGGCATTGAATCAAATGGCACATATTACACACTGTCACCTGTGTTGCGTCACCACTGTATTTTTCTGTTCTACAAGTTCATATAGTTGCCAGTGTAATGGGTGGACGTACTGATGGAAAAATATGAAGAAATGCTAATTCTTACTCTTTTGTTGAGGAAAAGGAGGAGACGAGCAAGGAAAATGTACGTGCACACCCAAGGAAAATGTTGTGGTATCTTTTTCACCACTACATTTTACACTAGACTGGCTTACTTTTACTGAGTATTCTTCCCCTTTTCCTTTCCCTGCATCTCTTCGCCGTTTATTCACTAATGTTTGTTCACTGGACATTTTTTAAACTGGAGAGGTTAAGACGCGGATAACAGAGCACTTTGTCCTTCAACGAGGTGACAGCGCTGAATGTATGTAGACACTGGAGTGGAGGAACTTTGGGGGTTGGTCTCACTCCTGGTTACTTCTGGTGTTGAGGCTGGCTGCCCGTACAGTAACCGGCGACGCCATCGGTGACGCCACCGGTGACGTCGCCTGGTGACCAAGTGTAATAGGGCCCTTAATTGATTGTTAACCAAACCGGCTACCATTTATATTACCGACGTAGAAAAGTAGATGAGCAGGTTTCCGAGAGGTTGCAGCACAGTCTTAAGAACCTGGCAACAACTTGAACTGTACAGTACCTCGTATGCAATGAAAACAATGGAGAATTTCCTATTACAAATACCTATTTGACAGCTTTACAATAGCCATCATTTTTATTTCAAACCAAACAATCGTAATTCATTTAACCTCATCGCGGCAGCAGACTTAATAGTTATTTTATAATAGTTAATTATACTAATAGTTAAATTAACTTAGTAGTTAATTTTACTGTACTATATCGAGTTTTTTTCCTTAAGTTTTTTTCCTTATTTGACGAAGTTTTCTTTCTAATTAAAAAAGACCAACAGATCTAAACTTACTTGAATGAGTTAGCAAATCAACTTCAATACTACGAGAGTTAGTTTTTAATACTCCAAATAAATAAGTTTTTAGCGAATTTCCCTATAGGGAAGTAGCCATTACCGTAGGTGGCACGGTAAGACCTAGACCCGGGACCGATTTACTTTTTCATTTTGATGTCCCCAGAGGCCAAAAACACCATTCGTTCAAATTTTTATATATGTATGTATATATATATCTATAAATATATATATATATATATATATATATATATATATATATATATATATATATATACATCCGTGAACGCGATAACTTGAGTAATTTTTTTCCGATTTTGATGAAATTTGGTTTAAAGGTGTAAAGCGGGATAAACTTGAATGAGTTCGCGAACCAGCACGATCGGACCATGAGAACGGGGCTTTACGGGGGGTTTTATGGGGTAAAAATTGGTTTTTCTCACTTTTGACCCTCAAAACACAAAATTTCCCGATTTCTCTTTAGACCTTTTTAAAGAGCTTAAAAAAACAAATAATTTAGTATATAAAAGTATTTTTGTTCGATTATTAGTAACGGAGAAAATTTAAAAAATTGTAAATTTAAAATTCCCATGTTATTCTTATGGAGAATATTGTCAAATGTTGTAGTTTGCTTGTTTATGGATATATTTTGATCAAACTTGGCAAATGAGAAATTTATTTATTTTGTACTAAGCTATCAATATTTTACTCAAAAACACACTTTATTAGTTTCCTTGTAGCAGCAAACCTAGGTACTCGTTAAACCTAATGTTATTAAAATATATTTAACTGAAAATCTATTCAGACAAATGGAAATTCGCTTAGTCGGCAGGTTTGCTGCGGCGGGGGTATTTTTAGAAACAAACCTAATAATTGAAAATGTTTCCCCCGTTTAAACAAATGTAAAATACAAACATTTATAGGCCCACGTGAATTTCTATACTACTTCTAGATGCTGTCGCTGTATTCTTTTTGGTGGACATCAATATAAAAATTTTCCGCCTTATATACTGTACCCTGAATACCGAGTTGTTATATATAAATTACTAAGTTTAGGCCCACGCCAGTAATTAAACTTTATTATTATAGGGTAAATCTATATCTATATCTATCTATATATTAATAGGCAAGCATGTTTCTTTAAAACCT